GTAGAGGGTAACAAATTGCAATTGTGAGCACTTGGTCAAACACGAAGGAATAGATCTGGATATAATTACAAAACAAGAGAACATAACAGAATTAGCAATGACTTTATAGTTAATAAAAGGAATTTTTTTCTCTTTTATCTACAGGCTTGATGAAAAGTCTTCATTGCTCTCTCCTCGTGATGTTTCTTCTTACTGGAAAAATCTTTTACCAATCTAGTAACATATTATCAGTCCTCATGCAACACATACATTCAAAGTGCGTCAGAAAGTATATTTTGTTTTGTTTTTTTTTTAAAGTAGAGTATTATCTGTATTCTCTCATCTGTTAGATTAAAATTTAAAATGAATTTGACCCATCAATATTGTTTCTGTGCACAAATTCCAACTTTCAAAGAAAAAAAACAACAACAACAAAAGGAAAGGCAATCAAGTAGTGTTACATGAACAACACACACCTAAGATTAATGATCAATAGTTGTAACACAGTAGTAATGATATTCCTGGGACTGTTTGATTGTTTTCTATTTTGTTCTTTGTGTTGAATATCATAAAATTTTTTTAAAAATCTTTCCTTGCACAATAAATTGATCTATGAAGCATATATTGGATATCCCACTGTATTAATTTCCTAGCACTGCCAAAACGGAGAACCACAGCTGGTGGCTAAGAAACAAGAACAGAGACTTGCTCTCTGTGACAGTTCTAGGGTAGAATTCATCTTTGCCTCTTCCTAGTCTCTGACATTTGTGGGTAATCCTGACCTTCCTTGGTTTGTAAATGCATCACTGCAATCTCTGTCTCTGTGGTCACAAACCCCTCTTCTCCCTCTCTGTCTCTTCTTCTTATGTTATGAAATGAAGGACACACACCTTACTCCTTGATAACCTCATCTTAACTAATTACATTGACAATTCCCCATGTTTCCAAATAAGATTCAATTCTGAGGTATGGGGAGTTAGGACTTCAACATATCTCAGGGGAGGGACACAGTTGAATGCAGGGCACCCATATTTATTTTGATTTTATTTAATATTTATTTTGAAACTTCTATATGCCAACAATCACAGTAGTTTTCAGTGTGTCAGTATTTTTTTAAAAGACATACAATGATATTTCATAATCTGCCAACACAAGGATTATGGAAGAAGCAGGTCATGACATAGGTGGGTGGCTATTCAAAGGGCAAGAAAATCATCTAGACACTCTCATTTTAATTGTGAAATATTCTGTACTAAAACAGTCTAATCCATGCAGGTTACATAAAATCACTAAAATACTAAGCAAAGTGTTCTATTTTAATCATATATGTAAGCAAAACTAATTCACTTATAGCAGGTAGCTGGAAAGAATAACTCAGCTATACAACGTTTGTAAATATTGACAGCAAAAATTTACAAATTACACTGTATTACAATTTTTATGAGATTGAAAGTTTTATTCACCAAAAGTCATGGGCTTCTCTTCTTGAGAAAAGCAGTGCACACTGAAGGCAGGACTCCCCGCCACAGAAGGTTGCACAGAGCCTGTAACTTTAGAAGTACAGCCATCGGAGGGCACACAGGAGAGAAACCGGCTCTGAGGCTGAGGCACGAATGTGCGAGTGAAGAACACTTGGGAGAATGCTGAGTGCAGGTCCCGGGTGCTCTCTCCTGAAGCACGTTGGACCCTGCAGTTTACAGAGGTTGGTGTGTAAAGGCGGATGAACTTCAGCAAATCCTAAATGGAACTCTCTGTTGTGCCCTCCTCCAGTCTCAGTTAGGTGTGCCCTGTATTTCTCAAATTCGCACCCTAAGAATAATCATTTGTGTTTTTTTGTCCTCTGCCTTTAATAAGCTCTGCCCTTAAAATTAGTAATTATATAGTTGATTGATTGATCTATCTACTTATCTAATCTATCTATATTTGATTGACATCTCAACTCACTGTTTGTGACCACCGCGAGTTTTATTTATAAAGTTCAAATACAGCTTGGTTTCAAAATACATTATGTGTTTAACAGGTAGAGGCATGTAGATGTTCTGTTAATTAGTCATTATTAACAAAATTAGGCCTTCACAAATAACGTTGCTTTGTGGTTTTCTTTTGGAAGGGGCTCAATGCTAGTATTAGCTTTTAAATATCTGATCAATCCCCACCACTCAAAGAGATATCCTTACATGCATATAATTTTTTCAAATGTTTCAACTGACTCACTTTTTGGTGGCATGATTCCAGCCAACCAACTTAACCTGAGTGATTCCCCACTTTATCTTATGTGGTGACATCCTACAGGAGTTGCTGGAAGAATGAATGTGATAATAAAAATAAGGCACCTACAACATCAGTAACTGACATTGAGCAAATACTTAAGAATGGCAACCAGAATGATTTTCACTTTCTATGCTTAGGAGTAAAGGCTTTCCCACAGCTAATTTTGAAATCTTTACACAATCCTGTTGTGTCAGGTAACTACTACATTCACATAAAGAATGCAACATCAAACAGAATTAAGTTACTTATTCCAAATTATACATTATACTTATTCCAAATTATAAATTGTAAGAAAAACAATAAATATTCAGTGTATTAGATTCCTAAGTCCATGCTAATATAATAATTCCACATTACCTGTTTTAGTTACTTATTGGTATAGTAACAAATTACCTAAAATCTAGTAGCAAAACAATTTAATAAAAATTTTAAAACATGGTATTGAAGTAATCGTTAGATAAATATAAACCCAGGAAATCATCACCACCATCAAGGCCATAGAGATGTCCATCTTTTCTCAATGTTTTCTGCCCCCTTGATTATTTTTTTTATGTGAATGTGTGTGGTAAGAACACTTAACATAAAATCTACCCTTTTAGCAAATCTTAAGTATATAATGCAATAGTGTTCACGATAGAAACTATGTTGCACAATAAGTCTCAGAATTTACTCATTACAGCTCTGGCTTACCAGTTTCCTAACACTTGAAAACGTTTTAAACATTTGTTTACTCAAATATTTTTCCTACTTTCTTCTCTTCACCTTCAGTAAAATTACATGTGAATTAAAACAGCAGTGGTCCCAAAGTCACTGAAGCCCTGTTTCTTGTTCGTTGATTTATTAATTCCTTTACTAATTGATTTTATCCATGCTAAAATTGGATAGTTTTATTGGTATAATTTTGTTCCTTAATCTTTTCTTCTTTAGTAGTATTTCAAGCCCCCTTATCACTTTTTAAAACATGCTATTAAGTCATAATTAAATAAAATTGACATAATAGTTACAAAATAAACCAATAAATAAAAAGGTTTCTAACAAAATTAATTAAAAATCATTTATTTTAAAGAGATATATACATTTTTTCCAAAATAACATTTTTGTAAACACTATTATTTGACAAATCTATATTCTACCTAAATCAAGAAATAGCCACTTTAAGACTTATTTGCAATATCACAAGTTACTGATATTTTTTAAAATATTTGTGAATATTTTTTAACTATTTGTCAGTATTTTGGGAAGATTATTATATTTCTATACAACATGGACTATTTCAAAAGGTTTGTTGCATTCCCGTTATTTAATAATACTTAAGAACTTTTCTTTTCCTCTAAAGAACTATATCCCCACTTTAATAATGAAATTAAGTGAGGAAAAACAAGGATCAATTTTGTGGAAATTAATGTTATAGTTTAAAAAGGAAACAAATGCATTTACTTAATTAAACAAGAGACAAGTGTACTCAAAAAGAAAAGAAATAGTCACTTTAAGATCAAATAGTATGTTTTATGCCCAGTAAACTAGTTGGCAGTTAAAATTAATTAAACTGCTCCTTTAAAATATCTTGAGAAGATGTAAATATTTCTTATTTAATGAAGGCATTAAATAGACCACTGCAGAATCTGGCTATTCACTACCAATAATTTCATTATCAGGAAATAATCTGCCTTTCTCCATCAGAGAGAATATCAAAACTTTATCCGGGATAAACATTACCTCTAGGTAAACATTTCTATAACTTGATCTAAATCAGAGCATTGACTTTCACCTTGGAGATTCAAAAATATTCTAGTCCATAGGAATCTTCTAGTTCATAGCCAACTTTTCTTCCTCTTCCTTTTTACTCCCTCCTAAAGCTATTTTATGAATAAGAACGACATGGTGAAAGTGACAGTAATGGTTATAACTTCTAAAATTTACTGAGCATCTATCACATGTAGTGCCATTAATACATATTCATTCAACTATCTCTCACAATTGTTTATAACAATGTAGTAGAGGAAATTGAAATTTTCTCACAAGGGTATTACTGGCTTTGGATCTTTTGATTAAGTCTTCTGGTCAGTAATCTTGTAGTTCTCTTTATAGAACTACTTTAATATATTTTTCATTGACTCCTTTTTCTCAAACATAACATTGATTTTCTCTATGGTTCTGACCTCAGCCTCATTCTGTTTTGACCATATACCTTTATCATCTTGCATTAAAAAAAATTTAATGAACACCTATAGTCTGATGGTGCCAAAATACATAGAGACAAACCTGAATTTCTGCAGCTCAATTTAGACTGACACGCCAAATAATTTCCTGTTTATTTTTCTATTTCACAAATACAAATACAAGCACCATGAGTATCTTTTCCCTTGAGTTTCTTGTCCATGGAATGTATCCATGTGAATTTACATTTTCTTCCAAATTTGCTTGCTTTATATTTTTTTGGTATAATAAAATGAACAGGATTGTAGTATTTAAAGGAGTTGCTTTTACAGATAATTTCATAAATTTTTAGGATTTGTACTCTCTTCTTGGAACTCTCCAGATTCTGACTTTTCTCATGAATATAGGACACAGTTTTTTTTGTTTGTTTGTTTTGTCCTAATGGAATAGTTTAAAAAAATAAGCATGGTTTGGTCAAGATGGCAGTGTAGGTAAATGTGGTACTCATATTTTCCTACAACCATATCAAAATTAAAACTGAACTATAGAACAATCCTTATTCAGAACCACCTGAAATCCAGCAAGTCCTACATCTAAGGGTGTAAAGGAGAAGCCATATTGACACTGTAGGAGGGGTTGGACACAGAAGCAGCAGGTCCCACATCCACCTGTGTTGGATAAAAATCAGAAGTGATATCTCAGATGCAGAGGTCTCTCCTGAGGAGTGAGGCTCCCAGCCCCACACTAGGCCCTGCAGCCCAGCATTCCAGTGCCAGAAATAGAAGTCTGCATAACTCCGGGTTGTGAAACCAGCAGGGATTATGCCTAAGTGAGACAGAACTTTTGGAGCCCTTGGCTTTCCTCTTAAAGGGCCAGTGGGGTGACTTACTCAGACTCACTGTCTTTGAGTTCCAGCTCTAGGACATCAGGGACTGATGGGGAGGAACTGAGTAGTCTGAAATCAGGGGCTAGAGAGCCAGACAGAAAGCTTTCTCGTGGATAGAAGTGCTGATATAGGCCATTGTTCCCTTTCTAGGTCCTCCTTGATAGGTGGTTGACATAATTGAGTTTTGATCAACCTGGCTAATCCTGTATGCCTCACTCTGGTGAATCTCTGAGAGCTTGACCCACCCAATGTGAGGGCCTAACTCAATTTTTGCCATACAAACAACCTGTCTTGGCACAGGTTGTGGCTAACCTTCATAAAATCAAACACGTTGCAGCTGGCCTTGATTCACAGCTTGGCCTCTACTGGGTACCTCCAACCCTGGAATAAAAGCAGCCACCTGAAGATTGTTTTGTACCTCATGCCAGGTGGCCCTGGGCAGGGCATAGGTGGTACTTGACCTTGACCAACACCTCCTGAGAGCCCCAAAGCCAGTGTACCGGTAGACCAGGTCTAAGCACCACCCAAATGCCTTCACTAAAAATACAGTCAAGGTCTGTACTTACTTGGCACCAGGGGCCACTGAAGTAAGTCCTGCTCTGTGTCTGTGTGGTGAGCCCCTGCACAGCTGATCCTCCACGGTGGTTAAAGTTGGTCCTCATAGCCAATCAGCCTGGGGGTCAATCCCTTCCACGGAGATATCAACAACAATAAAGGCTCAAGTATAACAGGGGGGTGTACACAACCCACACAGGGGACACACCTGAATTTTTTTCCCAGATAAGGTGATTGGGGAGGCTGTGTCCCTGGAACCTGCAAGACACCTACTATGTAAGGCCATGTTATCAAGCCCAGGAGACTTAGTAGCTCCACCTAATACATAGAAACAAATGCAGGGAGACAGCCAAAATGAAGAGACAAAGAAACATGTCCACATGAAAGAATAGAACAAAACTCCAGCAAAAGAACTAAACCAAAAAGGGTCAAATAATCTACAAGATGCTGAGGTGAAAACACTAGTTTTAAGGATGTTTAAAGAACTTAGGAAAAGCACAGAATTACTTAGTGAGAACTATGAAAAAGAGATAGGAAACATAAAAAGGAAGATAGCAAACATAAAAAAATAACCAGTTAAAAATAAAGAATGCACTAACTGAAATGAATAACTTCTGGTTCTCAACCGTCCTAATGCCATGACCATTTAATACAGTTCCTCATGTTGTGGTGACCCCCCAACCATAAAATTATTTTTGTTGCTACTTCATAACTGTAATTTTGCTTTGTTATGTCTTCAGCGACCCCTGTGAAAGGGTTGTTCAACCCCCAAAGGGGTCGCGACCCATAGGTTGAGAACTGCTGCTACAGGGAATCAACAGTGGAATAGGTGAAGCAGAGGATAAAATCAGAAATTTGGAAGGTAAGGAAGCAGAAAAAACCAATCAGAACAGAAAAAATAATCCACAACAATGAGAATAGTATGAGGAACTTATGGGACAATTTCAAGCTTACCAACACTTGCCTCATGGAGGATCCAGAAGGAGAGAGAGAGGAAGAAATTGAAAACATGTGCAAAAAAATAATGACAGGAACTTTCCTAAACTAGTGAAGGAAATAGACATTCAAGTCCAGGAAACACAGAGTCCCAAACAAGTTGAACCTAAGGAGATCCACACCAAGACACATCATAATTAAAATACCAAAGGTTAAAGACAAAGAGAGAATCTTCAAAACGGCGAGAGAAAAGCAATTAGTTACAAGGGAGCTCCCATAAGACAGTCAGCTGATTCTTCAACAGAAACTCTGCAGGCCAGAGAGGATTGGCAAGAAATATTCCAAGTAATGAAAAGCAAGGACCTGCAACCAAGATTACTCTACCCCGCAAAGCTTTTATTTAGAATTGAAAGACATAGACCTTTCCAGACAAGAAAAGCTGAAGGAGATCATTACCACCTAACTACTCTTACAAGAAATGTTAAAGGGTCTTCTGTAAAAAGAGTAATAAAAAATAGATTAAAATTATAAATAATAAAATGGCAGTAAATACATATTTATCAACAATTACTTTAAATGCAAATGGATTAAAGGCTCCAATCAAAAGTCCTATGGAGGCTGAATAGATAACAAAGCAAGACCATTACATATGCTGGTTACAAGAGACTCACTTCAGATTGAAAGACACACAGAATGAAAGTAAAGGGATGGAAAATGATATTTTGTGCAAATGGAAATAAACAAAAACTGGGTTAGCAATACTTATAGCAGATAAAATAGACTTTAAAATAAAGGCTATATAAGAAGAAACAAAGAGGGACCCAGTAATTTTACTTCTGGGTATTCATACAAAGAAACCCTAGATACTTATCCAAAAAGACATATATGTCCATATGTTCATTGCAGCATTATTTACAATAGCCAAGATAGGAAAATAACCTAAATGTCCCTCAATAAATGACTGAATAAAGAAGAAATGATGCACATACACAATCAAATATGAATTAGCCACACATAAAAAATGAAATCTTGCCACCTGCAATAATATGGATGGACTTAGAGGGCATTGTGCTGAGTGAAATAAGTCATACAGAGGAAGATAAATGCCATATAATTTCACCTACATGTGGAGTCTGAGAAACAAAATAAACAAACAAGCAGAACAGAAATCGACTCGTTGAGACAGAACATTTTGTCATTTGCCTGACGGGAGAGGAGTTAGGAGAACAGGTGAATATAGTGAATGGATTAAGAAGTACAAATTAGTAGTTACAGAGTAGTCTAAAGATGTAGAGTACAGCATAGGGAATATAGTCAATAATATAGTAACATATATGCATGGTTTGAGCTGGGTAGTAGATCACTAACTAATTTATATAATGTTTAATCACTGGGTTGTACTCCTGCAACTATTATATTATATATCATCTGTACTAAGAAATAAAAAATAATTTAAAATAATAAAATCACACTTCTAAATGTTCTCTCTTATGATTAGTGATGTTGAGCATTTTTTAAATATGTAACCTGGTCATTTGTATGTCTTGTTTGGAGAAGTGTCTATTCAGGTCCTCTGCCTATTTTTTAATAGGATTGTTTGTCCTCCTTTGGTTGGGTTGTATGAGTACTTTATATATCTTAGATATTAACCACTTGTCTGATGTATTATTGGCAAATATGTTCTCCCAGAGAGTGGTTTCCCTTTCATTTTGATTCTGGTTTATTTTGCCGTGCAGAAGCTTTTTTGATTGATATAATCCCATTTATTAATTTTTTTTTTCTTTGCTTCTTGTCCTGGGTGATAGATCAGTAAAAATTCTGCTACCTGTGATGCCTGAGATTTTGTTGCCTACATTTTCTTCTAGGATTTTTATGGTTTCATGAATTACATTTAGTCTTTTATCCATTTTGAGTTTATTATTGTGTATGGTATAAGTTGGTGGTCTAGTTTCACTTTTTTGCTTGTTTCTGTCCAATTTTCCCAGCACCCTTTATTGAAGAGATTGTCTTTTCTCCATTGCATACTCTTGCCTCCTTTGTCAAATAGTAATTGTGCATACTGTCTTGGGTCAATTTCTGGGTTCTCTGTTCTGCTCCATTGATCTATATGCCTATTCTTGTGCCAGAACCAAGCTATTTTGATTATAATGGCTTTGTAGTATAACTTGATATCTGGTATTTTGATCCCTTCTACTTTGTCCTTTTTCAAGATTGCTGTGGCTATTCAGGATCTTTTTTGGTTCAATATAAATTTGGATTATTTGTTCTAGATCTGTGAAATATGCTGTTGGTACTTTAATAGGGTTTGCATTGAATCTGTAAGTTGCCTTGTGAAGTGTGAAAATTTTAATAATGTTAATTCTTCCAATCCATGAACAAGGTATGTGCTTCCACTTTTCTATATCTTCCTCTATTCCTTTTTCAATGTCCTGTAGTTTTCTGAGAACAGGTCTTTTACCTCCTTGGATAAGTTTATTCCTAGGTATTTTACTTTTTTGTTGTAATGGTAAATGGGATGTTTTTAATTTTCCTTTCTGATTGTTCATTATTAGTGTATAAGAATGCCATCGATTTCTGGATATTAATTTTGTGTCTTAGTACTTTGCCAAATTTATTTATTAAATCTAGTAGATTTTTTATGGAGTATTTAGGGTTTTCTATGCACAATATTGTGTCATATGCAAATAATGACAGTTTCAGTTCCTCCTTTCAGTTTGGATGCCTTTTATTTTTTATTCTTGTCTAATTGCTATGACTAAGACTTCCAGTACTATGTTAAATAACAGTGGCAAAAGTAGCCAATTTTTAAAGGAAAAATGGTTCTTAAGGGAAATGCTTTTAGCTTTTGTTCATTGAGTATGAGGTTGGTGCACATTTTTCATATATGGCCTTTATAGTGTTAAAATACAGTCCCTCTATTCCCTCATTGCTTAGCATTTTTTTCAGAAATGGGTGCTGGATTTTGTCAAATAATTTTTCAGTGTCTATTGATATTATCATATGGTTTTTTTGTTTGTTTGTTTTGTTTTTTTATCCTCACCCGAGGACATTTTTCCATTTTTTTTGTTGTTCAGCTAGAGCGGGAGGGAGAGAGAGGAAGAGAGAGAGAGAAACATAGATGTGAAGGGACACATCGAGTGGCTGCCACCCGCACAACCAACCAGGGCCGGGGACAAACTGCAACCGAGGTATGTGCCCTTAGCGGGAACCGAACCCGGGTCTCTCTGTACCGCAGGCTGATGCTCCAACCGCTGAGCCAAACCGGCCAGGGCTATCATATGGTTTTTATCT